CAGGAGTTCGAGACCAGCCTGGCCAACATGGTGAAACCCTGTCTTTACTAAAAATACAAAAATTAGCTGGGTGTGGTGGCACGTGCCTGTAATCCCGGCTACTCAGGAGGCTGAGGCAGGAGAACTGCTTGAACCGGGACCCGGGAGGCGGAGGTTGCAGTGAGCCGAGATCACGCCATTGCACTCCAGCCTGAGCAACAAGAGTGTAACTGTCTCAAAAAAAAAAAAAAGCACTGGAATTGGACATTGGACAACAGATATTTTAGGACTGAAGTCACTGTGGATTAGTACTTCTTTTAATAATTTTAATAATTACATTAGATTATCAAGACTTGGATGAAAAGACATTTTGGCCTCAGGGTGGCTGCCTCAGCTCTGGTTTGCCATGTAGGAGCTGACAGACAGTACTTTAGACTCATTTCCTCTTTTATAAAAATGGAACTCAGAAGTCATTTCCCTGGAAAAACTGCTCGACAAGGTGGCTAAAGGTGCAGCCCCTCAAAGAAGAAGGGGCATGGGATGGTGGCTGTCCGAGCATGGGGAGGACCCTGTGGCTCATGGCCGTCCTCCAGTCTCTCTAGGCCAAGCTCAGGAGACCCAGCAGCCACAGACCACCCAGCCAAGTGGCCTTGATTATGTGGCAGCCTCAAGGGGAACTGGATGTAATTTTCTTTATTATAATTTGGCCTCTCCTGATGTCTGGTTTCCCTTAGATGCCTTGCTGCTTTCCTTCCTCCTGGGAGTGTCCTTCCTCAAAGTAGCTGGTCTAGCCGCATTTCAGATCCCTCCCCTCCCCCAACCCCTGGATGGCGCAACAGGCTTGCTTTCACCACCCACCTCCCTGGCTTGCAGGCCCCTGGCCCAGGTGAATCAACCCAGGTTGCCCAGCACAGCCCCATTCCTGGCATCTCATGATCCTCCTGCCCTGGACCTCTTTCTCTTTGTTTTCTCCAGAGGAACTGTGAGAGTGACACTGAGGAGGACATCGCCAGGAGCAAAGCCCTCCACCCGCGGAGGAGGAGCAGCACCTCCTAACTGGCCTGGCCTGCAGTGGCTGCCAGGGAAGTCTGGGCCCAGCGGTGCTCCCTTCTGTGCAGACTCTTGGACCTAGCTCAGCACCAGCACCTGAGCGTCCTGAGCACTTCGCAAGAGAGGTGGGCCCACAGAATTCAGAAGAGCTTGCAGGCAAGCCAAGAGACCCTGGGAGCTGTGGCTGTCTCCTGTGGAGGAGGCTCCGACTTTCCCAAAGCTCTTAATTCTCCATAAAATGGGCTTTCCTCTGTCTGCCATCCTCAGAGCCTGGGGTAGGGGTGTGGACTTAGGAAAACAATATAAAGGACATCCTCATCATCACGCGGTGAAGGTCAGACTCAGGCAGCCTTCCTCACAGGCTGAGGGGGTTCAGAACCAGCCTGGCCAAAAATTACACCAGGAAGACACAGTCCTCCCCACTGGGAACAGGGTGATTGAGGAAAGTGAACCTTGGGTGTGAGGGACCAATCCTGTGACCTCCCAGAACCACGGAAGCCAGGACGTCAGGCTGACCAACACCTCAGACCTTCTGAAGCAGCCCATTGCTGGCCCGCCATGTTGTAATTTTGCTCATTTTTATTAAACTTCTGGTTTACCTGATGCTCGGCTTCTTTTAGGGCTACTCCCATCTGATTTCCTTTAGCCTGTGTGCCTGTGACTCTGGGGGGGCACCCAGTGGGGTGCTGAGTGGACAGAATCTCAGAAGGTCCTCCTGAACTGTCCCCGCAGGCCTGCAGTGGGCCTGCCTCCTCCTTGCTTCCCTAACAGGAAGGTATCCAGTTCAAGAGAATCCACCCAGAGACTGGGAGTAGTGGCTCATGCCTGTCATCCCTGCTCTTTGGCAGTCCGAGGCAGGGGAATTGCTTGAGCTCAGGAGTTGGAGACCACCCTGGGGAACATGGCAAAACCCAGTCTCTACAAAAAAATACAAAAAATTAGCCAGGTGTAGTGGTAGCACCTGGCATCCCAGCTACTCCAGGGGCTGAGGCAAGAGCATTGCTTAAGCCCAGAAGGTCGAGGCTGCAGTGAGCTGAGATCACACCCCTGCACTTCAGCCTGGGTGACAGAGAGAGACCATATCCAAAAAAAATTAAAAAAAGGGTTGCCAGAGACGAGCATGCCCATGCTCCCTCTACCTCACTGCCACCACTCCTGCTGTTAGGGGCTGAGTGTGTCTCCCTAAAATTCCTCTGTTGAAGTCTTAACCCTCGGCACCACAGAGTATCACTGTATTTGGAGATGGGGTCTTTAGAAAGGCACTTAAATTAAAATGAGCTCACTGGTGTGGGCCCCGATGCAATATAGTTGGTGTCCTTACAAGAAGGGGAGGTTAGGACACGCAGGAAAGGCCACACGAACGAAGGCCCAGGAGTGGGAGGGGGAATAGCCATCAACAAACTAAGGAGGGGGGCTCAGAGGAAACCAACCCTGCTGACACCTCAGTCTTAGACTCTGGCCTCAAACATTATAAAAAAATAAACTTCTGTCTTTTAAGCTACTCGGTCTGTGGTACTTTGTTATGGCAGCCCTAGCAAAATATACACCTGCCAACTACAGCCAAGATGGGGGCAGGAGAATCCCTAACGATGTGGGTGGAGAAGGGCAAAGAAGGATCCACGGGGAGAAGGGAGAGGAGAAAGAGACGGATGACCTGGCCCCTTGGAAATGGCAAGGGAAGCTCACTCAATGGCATCGAAATGTGGGCCCTGTTTCTCAGGCCACAAGAACGGCGTTGCTGAGCAGACTCAAGAGATGACCCATGGAAGTCAGAAATACAGTCAGGGCGAGGCCAGGAGGCTGGGAAAGTACATGGGAAGAGGCTGAAAGAGAAGTTTTAGAAGGTGAGGAAACTGAGCTGAGGAAGTGAGCCAGGAAGGAGAGAGGGGAAAACTGTTATTAAAAGGAAAGGGTCCTGGGGAAGGAGGTCCCAGTTCCCTTTGTCAGCAGACAGTGGATGGGTCCAGAGCAAAATGGCCCCACAGGAACAGCAAGGCAACCTAGTTTCAGAAAAGTGTCCCGCCAGAGATGGAGTGAGCCCACAAGCTGGTTGCAGAAAGCTTAGCAGCTGACCTGGACTTCTCGAGCTTCCCCAGATCTCAGGTAGAAACAGTCCTGTGACTCCCACCACCCTGGAAGGATAGCAGAGGCCAAGAACTGCCGACTGTGGGCAAGGGCCCTGGGCCTGCGAGGGGCTCTTGGCTGTGGTTGGTTACATAAATCAGCAGGGCGTGTTCTGGAACAGGGCTCACTGGGAGCTCCTAGGAAGTCAGTTACGGTAATGGGGTGGGGGACTGCCCTCCTGCTAGGAAGGAGAGCAGGGAAGACCTTTGAGGAACCCAGTCTTGATCAGAAAGTTAGCCTTTGACAACTTGTCTAGCCCAACCCCTACGTTTCACTGAAGAGGAAACCGATGCCTAGAGAGAGGAAGTGACTAGTGCTTCACGCAACAAATTTGTGAAAATATCTGATGAAAGCCCAGACTTTCTGGCGCCTAGTAACAGTGCTCATTTCTTCAGCTGATAAACTGCGGTGTACCTTTCAGGAAAGGATGAACCATTCGCTTTGCCTCATTGTTAACGAGTCTCATCTATTCTTGACTGTTGCTTGCCACATCCTTCATTCTTGGAAAAGGAATAAATTGACACACTTGCTTCTACCCATCTTTCACAGTAAAGGACACTGCCCCTGGATGGGGGCATCTCAGCAGCCTACCCCCACAGGCTGCAAGGCAGTCAGGGAACCAGTATTTATTGGGCTCCTGCTGTATGCTTGGCACTGTTCTAGATGCTAGGTTGGAACAGAGCAGGACAGACACAGACCCTGTCCTAAAGGGGTCCACGTTCTCTAAGCCCTGGGAAACCAGGACTCCATCATGCTCATATCTCCTCCTGGCCCTCTTCTCATCCAGGTTATACAAAGCCCTGCTGACTCAGTCCTCTTAGCCCAGCTTTCTCGTGTTGGGTGGCACCTGCTGTGTTTCCCAGAAGCCCTTGGGAAGCACAGGGCCAGGCAGTGGGCCGAGGGGGGCCTTTGAGGATGTACAATCCTTTGAAGATGACTTTGAGGACCAGCAGCCAGAAGCCAGGCACCCATGCGCCTCCCAGACAGGGGCCCAGTCCCTGTGGCCTCTCTGCTAGCAGACGGCTGCAGCCGCAGGTGTGAGGATGAGCACCGCGGGGGAGCCAGGACACCACGTGTGTTCTGTTGACTCTGAAGAAGGATGTGTTGACCAGCTGACACTTTCAGGGCTGAAAGAGACCACAGCATCCTCAGAGGCAAATGGAACATTCCAGTGACGAAAGCCATACCAAATGCAATTCTTTCAAGAGGTCTGGAGGGGTCCTGCCCCAGAGTGTGTGCTTACGTGAGTGTTGGATGCTGCATTAATATTTCACAAATATCCATATAAATATTTTAGTGTGTTGCCTTTCGATGTCAATCTCACTAGCTTTCCTGACTCCAAATCTTAGATTGCCTTTGCCTTTTCCCTTCGTATATTTATTTGCTGAAAACCTTATTTTGGAAGCAAATGAAAGCCATACGGTAAGGTGAACTACAACATCTCTCTGAAGGAAAAGTCAGGCCCTGGACTCCACAGACAATCAAAGTAAGTGCATGTGAAAGAACTAACTTGAGGACTCGTACCTCACAGGGAATTTTATCTGGCATAGGATTGGAGAACTTTCCTTCCATCGAGTCCCCAACTTGATTTCATCCTGACATTGTTCGATTCACTGTAGCTGCACCCCCAAGGACAATATCTTCCTCGGTGGTCTGCTGAGAGGATCACATTCTAAGCAAACATTAATAGGCTTACGGATTGAGCAGCTGAAGATCTGTGAACGATGGCTAATTGACATTTCAAAAAGCAGACACACCATTGGTGAGCTCCCCTTAACAGTTTCTCTCCTCCCGTTTTTCCCTCTCCCACTGGTTCTTTTTCTCTCCCCCTTCATCCATTAGCAATTCATAATATATAGCTGAAGTATATATTTTAGTAATTTACTTATTGAATAAAATTCATGTTCCCAGTTCTTAATCTAAAAAGCAGTTGATTATATTATCTAGGGAGAAATATTTTTTAAAGTATTTTTTTCCTCTATGGATCAGTGATCCACCACCCCCAAGCCAGAGGAAGAGTGAAAGAAAAAAAGTGAAGCTCATAATAATTGTTTAAACTCTGCTCTGCAATAGGAACATTTTGCACACATTTCCTTTAGTCCTCGTCCTAGTCTTGTAAGGGAAATGAGAGCCCCATTTATATGATGCAGCTGAGATTCCGCGGAGTGAGGAAATTTGCATATGCAGTCACACAGCTGGAGTACTTAGATTCTAGCCCAATTTTGCCTGCCCTCAAATCCACATTCTTCTCTACTTTTCCTGGAGAAGTGTTCAATGAAAAAGTAATCCCGGAGAACCATGTACACTATTATACTCTTTTTTTAAAAGCTCACAAACTGTGCCATAAGTTGTTTAGGGATACATGTGAATGTGATAAAATTAATTAATTTTTGAGACACAGTTTCTAGTTGCCTAGGCTGGAGTGCAACGGCGTGATCTCAGCTCACTGCAACCTCCGCCTCCCGGGTTCAAGTGATTCTCCTGCCTTCTACGTGGGATTACAGGTGCCCGCCACGATGCCCAGCTGATTTTGTATTTTCAGTAGAGATGGGGTTTCAGCATGTTAGCCAGGCTGGGCTTGAACTCCTGACCCCAGGTCATCCATCCGCCTCGGCCTCCCAAAGTGTTGGGATTACAGGTGTGAGCCACCGCACCTGGCCTAAAATTGAATGTTAAAAGCAAGGGAATGACTACTCTCCAAATTCAGGATGAAACTTACATCTGGGTGGCTGAGATGGGGAGGAGGACAAGGGTGGGCGCTGGGCTGTTGGCAGCGTTCCAGTCAACACTGAGTTCACGGTGGGCTCCTGCAAGTTGTATTTGTTAGAATGCTTTCCAACTTACATATTAGCTGTCAGGCCTCTGAGCTCAAGCCAAGCCATCGCATCCCCTGTGACTTGCACATATACGCCCAGATGGCCTGAAGTAACTGAAGAATCACAAAAGAAGTGCAAATGCCCTGCCTCGCCTTAACTGATGGCATTCCACCACAAAAGAAGTGAAAATGGCCGGTCCTTGCCTTAAGCGATGACATTATCTTGTGCCTGACTCCTCCTGGCTCAAAAAGCTCCCCCACTGAGCACCTTGTGACCCCCACTCCTGCCCACCAGAGAACAACCCCCCTTTGACTGTAATTTTCCTTTACCTACCCAAATCCTATAAAACGGCCCCGCCCTTATCTCCCTTCGCTGACTCTCTTTCGGACTCAGCCCGCCTGCACCCAGGTGATTAAAAAGCTTTACTGCTCACACAAAGGTGGTCTCTTCACACGGACGCGCGTGACATTAGTTGTCTATACTTTTGCATGTATCAAACATTATGTTAAAGATAAAGGGAGAAAATGAAGTGGAAAAAGTCTATCCTAATGGTCACCAGTTGCCGCAGTGGCCTCTGTTAGGGACAGGACATAGTGCCCTTCCCTGCTGTGTTTTTCCCACATGACTCGATGGCTGGCATTTCTTTGTGTTCTTCTCCTGGCA